AGATTTGCTTCATGACGGTGCTGCCGACCTAACCACTGCAGTGATTCACTTAACAACTGTGGCAAGACAGGTCATAAAATGGGGCAGGATTCACTTCACAAAGGTCTCGCTTAGCAGCAGGTATTTTGGGCTCCATTGTGGTCGTATGTCGAGGGGGCATTTGAATGAAGGATCAAGGGACACACACACAGACACTGCGTAGCAAGAACCCCCCCCTTGGCCGCCAGAGGGGAGCAGCACCCGCCTTCTGCTCCCTCCATCCCAGGGGGCTCTTCCTAAGGCTGGGCCTTCTCCCCTCCCCCCCTCATCCCCAGTCCAGGTCCAGAACGCGAATTAATTAATTTTGTCATCAGTTTTGGGTTTCTCCCTTTTTTCTCCTGTGAGAAGCTGCCACAATCCTCCTTGGTAGTTCTCATTCCCCAAGGCGTAAAGGAAGGCATTCAGGGTCGGTGAAGCCTTGGCGATTAGAGCGGGAATCTGTGAAAGAAAGCCACATCATCACCACCACCACCATGACGAACATCTCCTTCATCCTCATTTCATATTAAACCTGCCAACCTGGCGGCCCTCCTTCGGCCCCCTTGGCTTCCAACCCTTCGATAAAACCCCAGAGAAAAGGATGTTTCCCAGGTGGGCTGAAGCCAGGCTGCTCCAAAGTGACCACAGAGGCAGGGAACGAGAGGAATGAACAGCCCCGCTGGGCTGCCTCAGACCCAAAATGGAAAACCCAAATCACACCAACAAAGTGGATTTGAAGGGCAACATTCCAGAGGGAGCCGCCTTTTGCTCTCACCTTCAGGAGGAATTCCGGGGCGGTAGGGTCTCACCTTGTTTCTTACTCACCATTAAGATTTTGGGCGAGACGAGTGCCACGTTTTCAACTGCAGCGTAGATACTCAAAAGTGAGTACGGACCCCAGCAAAGGACCAAAGATTTCACTGGCAAACCAGTATTAAACTGGGAAAAGAAGACCAGAGTTTGGAGCTGTCTATGAACTGTGCTCGATCCTTCATCAAAGGATGAAGCTCGGTATAAAATGAGCCAATTGGGGCTCTGGATGCCCTTCCAGATCTGAAGAGTTAAGGAAAGTCCTAATTCTCATTCTGCCGTTGGACACTCTTCCCTTTGGGCTTCTCAGAGCTTTTCCCCTGAAGGAAGCCAGCATCTGTTTATGGGGAGAGGCACTGCGGTGGGTGGGTGGGCTGCGTCTGACCCTCCACCCAAATGTTTGATAAACTGAGGTTCTCCAGATCTTCAAACTGACCTATGGCTTCCTCTACCACATTGTCCATAAATGGGCTGTAATGTTAGTCGTAAAACACTTTCCCAAAACCCAAAGTCTCTGTCTACACATCCTGGCTTCCTCCCTTAGCTTGTGCCATGGTCCCACCCTGTCCCACCAATATATTTAAAAGACCCCCGTGGCTAAGACTCTGAGATGGGACGCAGGAACGTCCCTCCCCAGGGCTTTCCAAAAGAGGCGGGCGTCTCTTCAGTTCTCCTCTCCTGCCCAACCTGCTGATAGAGGCCCCGTAGAAATCCATACTGTCATATCTGGAGAGCAAAGCTCCTGATCATCATCAAAAAGCCCACTTTTGTGCTCATTCCAGCACTGCTGGGTAACAGCCCCTCAATAGGTCCTAAAGTTAAATTAACATAAACGCTTATTTAAAGTTCAATGGTCTGCCAGCTCAATTCCTCTTAGGATGCTGGGATCCGACGGAATACCCCAAAGGTGACTCTTCCAAAAGGCAACTGGACTTTCTTGGTGTCCTCCCCTTCCCCTAAAAATGTTTTGCTTTTCATCCAAGGAGCTTTTTCAGTTCTCTGGATGAGGAGTGAAATGTTTTCAAGAAAACCCCTCCCCACAAGAAAGTCCAGTTGTTGTCAGGGCTGTGACAAATCCACCCCCATTCAAATCATAAGTCTCTAGCCGCATCTCTCAGAGTAAAAATAATTGATTTATTAGGAGCGACCATGTCGGCGTTACCTGGGTGCAGCTGACACTAAGATAATATCATTCATCTCACACTTGATCCTGGTCTTCCTCCCACCCCCTGGATGTATACTCTCCAATGGGACACATCCATAGCCAAGAGTCATCAATCATGCTCTCCAATAATAATCTTGTGTGCCAACAGCTTTGGCTGCCTAGCAATTATCTGAAGCATATGAGGAATGCACTACTTTTCCCCACTCCCTTTCTGCTGACAACTAAAAAGACCAAAAAGCTTTTTCTTTAGTTGACAGTTGTCTTTTGGAAAAATGACCTAGATGGTTGAGAATTTCCTTAGAGATCCTTCTCAATAAGGATGAAACTGATTGCATCCTGTCTCCTGAAGCTCCGTGTAAGTGAAAACACCCCACTGTGCAAGATGGACACTCTCTCAACACTATGGAAATCAGAAAACTTGATTAGAAAAAGAACCGGCTTTCCTGGAAACCATTCCATGTTGCAACATTTGCTTACCTTTAGCTGTCCTATTTTCCTGAATTTGTCGTCAATGGATTGATAGGACATTAATACGATGAAAATCGGGATCACAAAATTGAACAGCACCAGAGGAATAAGAAACGTGATGTAATTTCTGGGGGAGTGAAAAACAATGCATGGCAAATGATTTTATTGAAGGGATCTTGATGTAGTCAAAAATCAGAACATCTCCATAAAACAGAAACCAAAAGAGTAAAACCTCCGCCTGGCCCTGAGGGCCAAACGCTGCATCAAATGAATTGTATGGTGCCAAACCCTGATTGATGATGATCTGATTAAGTGGCTCTCAACCCGTGGTCTGCGATGGGGAGGGCTGCCATGTCATCACAGGCTTGAAGAAACATTATGATTTAAACCTTGAGTTAGATCTTGGGGCTCCATGGCCACCAAAGATGTTTAAATGGAGGTCCATTGTGAAGAAAAGGTTGAGAACCACTGATCTGCTTCATTGTGTTTCTGTCTTTTATGTGCAGGAAAAGCTCTTTAAAATTATGGAGTTCTTATCATCTAGACACAAAGAGTGTCCTTCAAGTCAGTGACCCAGATCGCTTGCCAGGGTGGCTTTTAAGGTCCATAGCAGTTGATTGCAAAGAGGGATGTTCTTCCTATCTCCCACAAAGGAGATACGTGGCCATGGGTTGAAATGGTGAAGGCAAAGAAGTTGTCTCATTCTTTCAGGATAATAACAGAATTGGAAGGGCTCTTGGAGGTCTTCTAGTCTAATTCCCTCCTCAAGCAGGAGACCTTATTCCACTTCAGACAAGTGGCTGTCCAGTCTCTTCTTAAAGACCTCCAGTTTTGGAGCACCCACAACTTCTGAAGGCAACTTCTGTTCCACAGATTAATTGTATCTCACTGTCAAAAAAATTCTCCTAGGTAGCAATTCTAGGTTGCTTCTCTCCTTTGTTAGTTTCCATCCATTGCTTCTTGTCCTGCCTTCAGGTGCTTTTTTGAATAGCTAGATCCCCTCCTCTCTGTGGCAACCCTTCATTTTATCATAAATTATCAGAGGGGCGAACCTCTCTGAGAGCGAAAATTTGCTAAAGATTGGAAGATGCACTCCTGTCTCCCCTGGTCCTTCTCTTCCATAGACTAGCCAGGCCCAGTTGCTGCAACCGTTCTTCATATGTTTTAGTCTCCACTCCCCTCATCATCCTGGTTGCTCTTCTCTGCACTTTTTCTAGAGTCTCAAGATCTTTTTTATAGTGTGGTGACTAAAACTGGATGCAGGACTCTAGGTGTGGCCTTACTAAGGCATTATAGAGTGGTATTCATGTGATCTTGATTCTTTCCCTTTTTTGCTTTTTTGACAGATGCAGAACACGGCTGGCTCACATTCAAGTGATCATTTCCTAAGACCCCAACATTTCTATCGCAGTTCCTGCTGTGAATGGTAAAGTAAGAGAATGGAAACTAGGTTAGAGCAGCATCAATAAGAATCTCCCAATGACTGTTTTGCCCTAACAAAAAAATTATGTGACCCAAAGACTGTTCATGGCAGGTGACGTGAGGACAGGAAGAATATATAGGAATGGAAAATGGTCTGCAGAATGGGCAGGGGCTGTTGTTGGCCCTGCATCACCTCCACCATTAAAATTCTCCTTATCATGCAAAGAACCTTTTATCCAAAAGAGCAGAGCTTTGGTTCAGCCTCCCTTCCCAAAGAGCCCTGCGTCTGTCATTAGGCCTCAGAAACACTGACCTGTCTCCCTTGGTGTAGTCCAAAGTGCAACAGGTCCTCAGAGGCTCATAGTCATAGGCCCCCCATCCCAAGAGGGGCATGGCAGACCAAAAGCCAGCAGAACACCAAGCAAACAGCCCCATGAAGAACACCGAATTCCACTGTAATTTTCGCCCTGCAAGAGAAAATGGAAGCTCACCAACTTGCAGTGGGGTTACAAGGCAGGGAGGAAGGGTAACCTCTCCAGATTTCCCTGGAGCATTGACTCTGTTTTGGGAAGAGGCTCGGAGGAGGAGAAGGCTACTGAAACATGAAGGAGGGATTTCTATGGGTGTGGGAAAGCTTTGACCTTGAAGGGCCTCCTCTTGCAGAGCCTCTGCTGGGGTCCTGAAGCATTTTTCTCCAGGCTTGGGAAAAGAGAAAGAGAGAGAGAGAGTTGCTGCCTGGAAAACGAAGGGTTTGTTAAGAGCTTGGAGCTAACCATTTCCAATACTTCACCAGAGATAGACCCAAGTCAGTCTCTTCACTTTACGGGGAACCATAAGACCCAGTGACATGAATGGAAGAGGTGAGACTTGCTTGTCTGTTGTCTGTCTGTCTGCTTTTGGGTAATTTCCAAGTTGCCAAAGACAGCAGGAAGTCTTTGGGATGAATCCATATGCATCTCCCTGAAGAGTTTTGCCTGGTTCAGAATCGCGCTCCTGAAATTTGCCACAAAATGGGGCCAGTTGTCATGTGCAAAGAAACCATAGGTGAAATTCCAGGGAAGAAGATTTATTGTCCAAGCCTGGACACCAGAATCTAGTCAGCTAATGGTCACCACTAAATTGGCACTTGATAAAGAGTCAGTTGAATTCACGAGGGATTGGACTTGGACCATTTGTTGGAATGTAATGATTCCAGGCTGATCACTCCCTTAACTCCTCCCCCAGTCTCTGCTTGTCCTTCTCCTATACCAATTTCTACAGGATGATTCGGGGCTCTTTGGGGCAAGGGGGTCTTGGGTATTTAGAAATAGAAAAGCTGTTCTTCTCAGTACACTCTTATGCAGTCCTGCTCTTATTTTTGAACATCCAATAAAACATGTTGCCTCACTTTGCTACTGATATTTGAGCAGAATTTTTCCACTGAAATAATTCATGTAATGGCTACAGGATCACTTAGCTTGGTTTTTACTTTATTTATGCCTAATACATCTGGGGGTGGGGAGGGGGGAGAAAAATCTAGAGGATTGAATATTTTTGAATCTTCTTGATGCCACCTACTGGTTATTTTGGTTTTCTGCAACCTAGATAGAATAGTCTTTAGATTGGATTGTTTGATCAGCCTTTGGGATGAGAAAGAAAATAAATATTAAATCAAAATGAGAATGGCAAGAATTGCAGAAAGGTTTGGATGCTTCCCGGTGCCTTTTAAATTTGAGTGGCAAACATTTTAAGTGGCAAATAGGCCACAGGAATAAAACTGGCCAACCTAAGGCATTTTAGACTGCATTTTTTTTTTTACAATAGGACCTATGTACCAAGTTCTCCCACTGAAATTAAGAGTGTTTATTACCCATTAATCACAGCTTAAAAGGATAACATTCAAATGCAGCCCTTGATATCTTTAGAAAACAACAACAACAACAACATTGACAAATTCGCCACCAGTCAATTGCAGAAGGCAGCTTTACTTGGATCAGCTTCCATCCTTGTGATGAGACCTGGAACGCTGTCAAACATCCAGATTTACCTATCCCAGGTCCTTGGGAAGGACTCGATGGGTAGACAAAAATGCCAAACCCAGCCTGAATGTCTGGTTGACTATATGATGATCAACATCAACATCAACATCATCATCATCATCATCATCAACAACAACAACAACAACAACAACAACAACAATGTAACAGTGATATACCCATTGTCATCAGGGCCCTTGATACCATGTCCAAGAATTTTAGAAAATGCATCAACAAATTGCAACTTCCAGCAATAACAGCAGCAGAACTGCAAAAAAATGGGGCTACTCAAAACATTGTACATCTTAAGAAGATGTTTGGTTGATAGCTAGGATGCTGGCAGCAACCCTCATCAACCATCAGAGCCTGTCAATTATATTTGTGATACATTTTTAAATGTTCAGTTGACTGAGTTTCATGTTGAATGAATAAAAGAGATATTAATAGTAATAGTAATAGGACCTGCAGCCTGAAGGGCATAACAAATCAATGATACAGTAAATAATGTTGATTCCCACATGCGAAACCCCTGTTTCTCAGCCATGGCAACTTGAAGATGGGTGGACTTCAATTCCCAGAATTCCCCAGACAGCGGAGTTCTGAGAGAGGTCCACGTATCTTAAAGGTTGGGAAATGCCAGTTTCCTTTCAAGATTGCCTCCTTAAAGTTCGAGAAGTCTTATTTTTAAATTACTGCTTGGTCATCCTTCTAGATCCTTTAATATACAGATGCCTCTTGGCCACAATTCTCATTTTCTGTATGTCTAGCAACTAATACATTAAAAAAATAATAATAACCAGCCAGAGGACTTACTGGAGCAATATTGATGATACCGGTCCCATGCAATTGCAGCTGCACAATTAATGCTTGTTAGGGCCGTTAAAAATCCTTGAAAGCCATGAATTTGGCAGCCGTCAGATCCATAGGGCCAATACCTGAAAAAGAAGAAGCAATTGACCAGGTGGGAAAACATGTCAGGAGGAGGACTTGAGCCACTTTCCCTTCAGTGTCAGCAAAATGGAAACTCTGAAGATTCTTGGTGCTGTGTTGGTGCCTTTCAGATGATAGCATCCAAAATGCACAGCTTGCTTTGCTAAAGCAAAGTGCTAAAGCAAATGAATTATACAAGGCAATGTGAAAGTGTGTCATGTTTTCTCTCATTCTGAGAGTGAGGAAGCATGTTCTAAATATGGGGACTAAGAAACCAAGTCAAAGCTCCTTTGTTGGAAGGTTCCAAGGTGCCTCCTGAGACCCTTAAGGCAGCCTCACAAGAAAGAATTATTTTGGCTCCTTCCAGCTTCTCCTTTGCAAGTTCCAGTTTTGTTTGCTTTCCTTGAACCACTTTTGAATGTCTGAACGTACTATTGAAGGAGATTGATCCAAATAGAGCTGGAAGGGACCTTGGAGGACTTCCAGTTCAACCCCCAGCTCAAGCAGGAGACCTTATACCATTTCAGACAAGTGGCTGTCCAGCCTCTTCTTAAAAACCTCCAGTGATGAAGAACCTACAACTTCTGAAGGCAACTTCTGTTCCACTGGTCAATTGTCCTCACTGTTAGGAAGTTCCTCCTTAATTCCAGGTTGCTTCTCTCCTTGATGAGTTTCCATCTGTTGTTTCTTCTCCTGCCTTCTGGTGCTTTGGAGAATAATTTGACCTCCTCTTCTTTATGGCAGCCCCCCAAATACTGGAATACTGCTATCATGTCCCCCCTAGTCCTTCTTTTCTCTAACTCAAATCCTACAACCATTCTCCATATGTTTTAAAGGGGCCTTTAATCATCTTGGTTGCTTTTCTTTGCACTTTTTCCAAAGTCTCAACATCTGTTTTGTAATGTGGTGACCAAAACTGGGTGGAGTATTGCGGCCGTGGCCTTACTAAGGCTTTATGAAGAGATACTAATGCTTCATGTGATTTTGGTGTTGGGTAGAACATGACTCTCTTGAGGCATGCTTCATTTCTGTCAATATGCCCACATCTATTTTTTTCCTTCTCAGTTCAACATTGAGATTATTGCCTTCCTTGGGTATGTTTTGGCTTTCCACTTCACTCTGCTAAGGTTTTCTGGTGATCTCCCATCCCCATATTAGCCAGTTCTGACCTGCTTAGTGTTTTTAAGACCAACCAAGCCCTTTTCTAGAGGCAACTTCTCCTTGTCAATTCTGCCTGGCAGTTGAACTGCTCCACAGAAGAATGTGGCCTCCTTCCTGCCCTTCTCCCCCAGACAGGAATGACGTACCTTGAAACTAGAATGGCTAAATAGTTGTATTTGCATGAAAAGTGCCATGAATGAGAAGTCAGATACTGAAAAATCTTTTCTGCTTTTCTGAGTGAGCATCAGTCTGAAGACAGGGTATGCCCAGAAGGCACGCAGCTCTCCACAGTTATGTCAGTGCTATTTTTAAGTGGAAGGATGAAACAGCCAGCTCTCCAAGTAAATAAAACCTACCTTAAGAAGCTGGAGAAAGCAGCGATGAACGCGTTGATGCAAATGCCACAATCAGACAAGGCGAGGTTGAGTATCAGAAAGTTGCCAGGGGTTTGAATCTCCTTGATCTTCCAGAAAGCAACAATGGTCAACACATTCAGAGAGAATCCAAACAAAGCTAAAATATTAAAAAAAGAATCATTTTACTGTGATTTATAATTTCGTCTCGGACCCTGATGCCAGGCTGATCAGCACAAACCCAAACAAAAAACCACAAAGGTATAAAACACGCAGCTTTGTTTATTCCGAAAAATAATGTGTATATCTTGTCTAGATTAAAAATGCAAGACGGTGTGGAAAACATACATTTTCTGTCAATGAACCTTTTATGAATTCTCCATCTGGTTAAATCCTCCCTCCCCCCCACAAAAAAACAACAATCCAGGCTGCGTTTTTCAGGTGAAGTCCTTACTATAAATTCTGTGAAGTCCAACGGTTGGACTCCCGAAACTTTTCTTAATTGCTTAGCAATGTCATTTCAGGATGGAGACCTGATCCCCTTTGGTCCATGTTGCATAACCAGTCAACCTTACCTTCCGTCAGCATCACTGTGCCAAAGCTCATCATTTCGAACTCAGTAAATCCTTCTGGAAGAGAGTCAGGGGACGACATCTTTGGAGCTGGGAACCAGGCTAACCGAGGCTGTACCTCGTCTGTTGCTGTTATTTCTCTCCCTCCCTCCCTCCCTCCCTCTCCTCTTTCCCCGCCTCTCCCAGCCCTTCTGCTCTCCAAAACACCAAGGCAATTGCCTTCTTCAAGAGTTTGACCACGGCCAAATTTAGCTCTTCTGAAAAGCAGGAGCACCAGCTACCTGCCTTCCCTTCTCCGGTGTCTCTCAGTGTCTCTGGGGGGGGGGGGAGAGAGAGAGAGAGAGGGAGAGGGAGAGGGAGAGAGAGATAATGCCAGAGAGAGAGAGAGAGAGAGAGAATGCCAGAGAGAGAAGAACAGCCATGGCGTGCAGGACCTAGAATCAGCTCCATGGGGACGGTGGGTTGAGTCATGCAATCCCTTCGTTTCAGAAAAGTATTTTGGACGTGGACACAAAAGCAGCTCTCTTTGGTCACAGCTGGGGGCTTTTTGCTTGAAAAGGAAGGTCAGCTAGGAGGACCCAGGTTTTACTATGTTTATCAAAGAGCGTTTTCGCCCCCATTCGGGGTAAGCTATTTTTGATCAGGAGTTGGACTTCAAAATAAAGATTTCTTGAATGAAACACAACTTTGGGGGATTCTAGGCACTTTTCTTGGCAGGCTTAATAAAAGCAGTTTGCCAGTCTGTTCTTGGGAATTATTTTTTCTGACTTCCGAGCCTGGTCCACACCCTGGAATTTCAGTGGCTCCCCATTCTGGGCCAACCTTCCTTAACCTCTGAGAGCAACAAGATCAACCCATCCCTGAGAGCAACAAGATCAAGGTTCGCCACCTGAATTTCAAAACCTGCATCTAATATATCATACAAAGGCTGTTAAAAGAAAAAAAAAAACTTCTATAAGGTATTAGAATAGCCCAAACAGATGAACTCTGTTTCCAAAATGAGAACCACAAAGACATTATATACGGGAGTCTCTGTGGTTAAACTGGGAAAAGATTAAAAGACAATGTTATTTGAAAATTCCAGTCTGGCTATCGACTATTGAAGCATTTTCTTATCCTATAATATACAAAAAGGAACAAACAGTTAGATATGGTGAAATATTGAATGAAAAGGGTGAACTTAAATCTATACAAAAACTAGAGGAACAAGGTATAAAGATGAATTGGTTTTCATGTGCGCAAATACATTCAAGGTATGATAAAGATTCTAAAATGGAAGGTTTCTATGATAAATTGACTGATTTAGATAAGATTTTGACAGGTACTGATGAAAAGGTGATTAAAAATTGTATGGATATTTATTAGAAATTAAACTAGAAGAAGAACAAGTTAAAGAAGCTATGATTGCTTGGGGGAAGAATTTTGGATATGAGATTGATCTAGAGAAATGGCAAAAATTGTGGTCTCAAAATTATAAAATGACAATGTCAACAGCATATAAAGAGAAATTGTATAAGATGTTTTACAGGTGGCACTTTCCCCCGACAAGAATAGCAAGAATGTTCAAGAATAAATCTGAAAAATATTGGAAATGTCATCAGATACCTGGCTCATATTACCACATGTGGTGGACTTGATGCTAAAAAATACTGGACTAAAATCCACATGTGGTTGGAAAAAATTACAAAAAAACATATAGACTTGAAACCAGAGATAGTTTTATTGGGAATTTTACCTGAAATATATAGTGAAGACTTGAAATATCTGATAGTAAATGTATTAACAGCAGCTAGGATTGTATTTGCCAAAAACTGGAAAAATGAGAAAACACCATCACAGGAGGAAATCATTAAGAAAATATTGGAATGTGCTGAAATGAGTAGATTGACATTTGAAATTAGAGAACAAGAGGATAAACAATTTTATAAAATTTGGGATCTATTCTATCAACGGTTAGACAATAAAATACAGTAATGAAATATGTAGACTTTTAGAAAATAATAAATATATAAAGATGTACTTCTTTCTTATTATATCTACAAAATGATTTTAGGATAGATTTGGGATGATAATATGAACTGTTATAAAACAAAGTAAATTATGATTATCTTGTAAAACATGAATGAATAAAAGTATAGTCAAATGATTGATTAATAATGATACTAAGGTATTTAATTTTTGATTGAAAATACGAGATTATATGCAATGTAATTGTAATTGAAGACTACGAAATGGAAGCACAAAACAATTTGTAAACCAACCGGCACACTGTATGTACATATATAGAAGATGGCTTGATGTTTTTATGTTTTGTTTGTTTATTTTTGTTTTTAAAAACCAATAAAAACTTAAAAAAAAACAAAAAACAAAATGAGAACCCCAAAGGTCATCTCTATGTAAAAAAGAACAGATGTTAATTTACATATATAGATTTAAACTGAACCTCTGTACAGCTTAACATTACAAGCAATTCACCTCACCACAGCAAGAGTGAATGGCTCCGTTTGCTACCCAGGGGTCTATTTCTGGGACAGCCCCCCCTTTAAAGGATTGTGGTTTTAAAGCTCCCTTCAGAGGGGGAGTTTGACTAGAAGACTTCTAAGGTCCCTTCCAACCCCGTGATTCTAAGATTGAAATGCCAATCAAAGGGAAGACTGTCTTCCAGCAAGCTTCCAAAATAATAGATTCTTTTGCATACCGTGTCTAATGCAAAGTTATGTGGTTTAGCATGTTTTCTAGGATTTTGTGTAGCTCACTACCGGTTTCAAATCTAATTCCAAATATTTCACCCAAGTAGTTTAGGCTGCTACTTTGAATGCAGATGCAGAAAGAGCAAAGAAGATTTTCATTACAGACCATCAGGAATCTTCAGATAATACAGTGGAATAAAGCCTTGGTAAATAAACGTTTACACAAATAAATTGTATGTGCACATATAGACACAAACAAAGCAGGGTAGATCAAACATAAGATTCATGACTTATATGTCTAAACAGAAATATCTCTTTATTTCATTTTTAGAACCCTCAACCTAAATACTTTTACAACAAGCAAGGGTGTTCTAATATTCCTTTGCCGTCAGGCGAACTATTTCTGTTCCATGTACCTTTTCCTCTGCCTTCAGGAAAAATCTATCCCAAAATTGGATTTTTTTTGTTTGTTGCTGCACCACTTAATATCTCCTCTATGAATTCACAGAAAGAACATCTTTATTGGCTTGGACAGAAGTAGAAAGGTGAAGTCCCTTGTCAGCAAAGGGAAAGGAAAATTATTGTTCAGGAAGGTGGAAACAACATGGTTGGGATTATTATTACTGGCCCTACCTCTTAAATAAGTGAATAACTCAGTGAGGTGGACCTGCCTGGCTTTTAAAAGACTTCTGGCATCCGGATCAGGCACAGCAGGAGAAAAAGAAGATCATATCATGCTTAATGCTTCCTTAGACTATATAATTGGCAATAGTAAAACTATCTGCTTTGGTTTCAGATATGGGACACACTTCTTAGGAAAAAATAGGCGTTAAAGCCATTTATCTGGAATGGCCTAGGCTCTCCTGCCATGGGCAATGGGTTGGGCCATGAGAGCTCCAAGGTCCCTTCCAATCCCCTTATTCTACCTTCTATTTTATCCTGCCTTTTCCCTATTCTCAAGATTGCTTGTACTATCCAACCAAGACAAGCCACAATAAAGACAGATACAGAAATAGGCAGATGCATACATCAGCGCATAGAGTAATCTTGGGGTCTCTGGACCAGCATTCCAGAGATTACAAGACTCTCAAATTCCCTTCCAACTTCACTGATAAGATTCTTAGTCTCTTGTTCTTTTCCATGCTTGTGAACTAGAAGGAATATAGAATAACAGGCTTGGAAGGGACCTTGGAGGTCTTCTAGTCCAACCCCCTGCTCAAGCAGGAAACCCTATCCCATTTGCAACAAGTGGCTGTCCAATCTCTTCTTGAAAGCCTCCAGTGATGGAGCATCTACAACTTCCAGAGGCAAGTCATTCCACTGGTGAATGGTTTTCACTGTCAGAAAATTTCCCCTTAGTTCTAGGTTGAATCTCTCTTTGATAATCTCCCCCTGTTACTTCTTGCCCTGCCCTGAGGGGCTTTGCAGAACAAGCTGGACCCTCTTCTCTCTTTCAGCCCTTCAAGGACTGGGAGCCACCTATCCCATCCCCCTGAGTCCTTCTCTTCATTAGACTAGGCACCGCCAGTTCCCTCAATCCTTCACTGTACAGTTTAGCCTCTAGACTCTAGTATTCAGTACCATGTAATGTATTTGCACACACAAGAGGGAGAGGGTGAAGGTTCCACAATCAAGAGTTACAACAACAACAACAACGACGACGACAACAATACACCTCTCTTCACTGATATCACACAGTGTATCCCAAGCGCTTTGAGCAGCATTGAGTAGGAAGAGGTGCTTCTCTAGATCCTTCCCTGAAATGTTCTGGAGCCTTGAACGCATGCGCTGAAATTAAGCACAGAACCAACCAAGGTTGTCCAGACTGGAGGCTTGGGAGTATCCATAGGAAAGAGAGAGAGAGTCAAAGCACGTGTGTCATCTCTGTGTCAAATTCTTCCTTGTTCCATCCTTAAAACCTGACATGGCCTAGACTGGCAGAAACATCCACCTGACTCTTCAAAGCAGCCCATCTTACCTTCAACCAACAGGATTGTGCCAATGGTGAAGACTTCACTTTCAGTGAAACCATCAGGAATAGGATACGCCAAATTAACCATGTTTGCAATGAAAAAGGAAAAGAGCCTAGTCCCTCTCCAAGGTCTAGATTTCCCCAGCTAACGGCCTCGGTCAATTCTTTGTCCTGAATTTTCTTTCTTCAATCCAATCACCTACAAATCTTACCTTCTTAAAGGGCCCAGCCACGTGGAAATCCTCACAGAAAAGCTTTGTGTGTTAATCCTAACCCAACAAGCCCTGAAAAATTCTTCCTCTTATTTCCTCCCATGCCTGGAACCGCCTAATGCAAAAGGAAACATTCTGTGCAATCACAAGAAGCCTTTTGTGGAGACAAGTTTTAAGAATGAACCCGGCTAATTCTGGGGAGAAAAAG